GAGATCTAGAGAAGAAAAGCAAAGAAGAAAAGAACAATATATTAGAGAGAGAGAATGGAACAGGAGAAAGCAGGAGGTTATTTTATTTTATTTTATTCTTGTGCAAAATTCATTTTTAAAATTTTGTTTTATTGATTATTTATGTTAACCATATTTCATATTAACTGTAACTAAAACACCTTTCTGTGATTGTAAACTGTTTGAACTCTGGATATACAGTAGTCCCCCATACCTGTGGTTTCATTTGTCACTGTTTCAGTTACCTGCAGTCAACTGTGGTCTGAAAATACTAAATGGAAAATTACAAAATAAGCAATTCATATGTTTTCACTAACTTTTATTACAGTTTTTTAAATAATTATTCTATTTTATTGTTAATTGTTGTTAGTCTCTTTTTGTGTCTAATTTATACATTAAAATTCACCAGATATGTATGTATAGAAGAAAACATAGTGTATATCTATATATGTCTTGTTGCTATCCACAGTCTCAGGCATCCACTGGGAGTTTGGGGACATATCCCCTGAAGATAAGGGGGAGCTACTGTAATATTACTTAGCCTAATTTTTGGACATATATTTATGTTCATTTATTTAACCATCTAGATGAAAGAAATGCTTGCTTCTGATGATGAGGACGAGGTCTCTTCTAAAGTAGAAAAAGCTTATGTTCCAAAGCTCACAGGTAAGAAACCTGAGTAGGAAGTTGCGAATGAAACTACCAGAGAAAGAAATACGGTATCAAACATCTTCTCATATATTCTTAGGAACTGTTAAAGGTAAATTTGCTGAAATGGAGAAACAACGACAAGAGGAACAAAGGAAGAGGACAGAGGAGGAACGGAAACGCAGACTTGAGCAGGATATGCTAGAAAAGAGGAAGATGCAGCGTGAACTGGCAAAGAGGGCTGAGCAGGTACACACCAGCACTAAGTAGGCTTTGCTCCAGAAGCTAACTGTATAACATAGAACTAACTGGTATGTTGCTTAATTAAACCATTTGAATACACAGAAGCTATTTGCAGCTAACATGAAAATAAGATCTTAAGTAAAAATATCTAAAAATCAGATGCATAGGAAATAAAGCACCAAATGTGGCTATTTTATGGTGGAATGGTGAGATGCCTTTTGTTATATGTGATCTTATTCTGTCCACATTCTTTATTTTTATTGACATGTTAGAGACTTTTACAAAAATGTTAGACAATTTCACATGTAAACTATCACATGCATCTAACACAATGTTGGTCTTTCAATAGCAATATTTAGCAATATTTGAAAATGCTAGTCCTTCAAAGCAATACTTTAAGTGCCTTAAATCCATTTGCTCTGTTTCATTCAGTTTTCACTATGTTTCTAAAAAGAAAAGTGACAGGATACGCAATACATATACAATTCTTGCATGCCAAAGAAATTTATTTATCCCAGTTTTGTAACAAACCACTTTTATGGCACAAATAGCCATTTGTGTAGTGGCTAATGATAACATAAGCCAGATGAACTGTAAAAAAGAATGGAAATTTTCTATATTTTATTTTACACTTCTTTTTCTGAAGGAAAAATACTGTATCCTACTTCCCTTTCTAGTCATTAAAGATTAGTATTTATTTTGCAGTCAATTTTCATGAGAATAAAATTATAATATTGAGTATTATTATAAATTATATTTTATAAACATAGTTATAGAATTACATTTATAATTGTACTATTAATTATAAATAAATACAATTATAAAAATAAGTAATTAAATATATGGTGTTTGGCAGAAAATAATGAGTACATACATTGATATACATAGTTTGAGATTTGCATCCGTTTCCAGCACTGATTATTTTCTAGACTTTAAGACACACTACAGCCCCAAGAATAGAATATGTAGACAGTGATTTCTCAAAGAAAAACTGTGTGTGTTGAGGAGATGTGCTTAAATATGATGAAAGCATAGGATTCTTAGAGATGGAAGCAAGATTATGAAAAAGAACCACTTTAGCAGCTCTAAATACTTTCTACATGGCAGGGTACCATAGATTCCTGGTTAGTGATTTTTTTTTCTTATTCAATCATTTAAGAATATGTAGGTAAACAATTAATAGATATTCCATCTTGTAAACACATAAAGCCTAGCTTTAAAATCTAAGTATATTTTCCATTCAAATCTAATATAATGTAAGGTATCTGAATATAAAGTATGGATGGCTAGTCAAAAGGAATCTTCGTGTTTGTTTGCAAAAACGCACTTGTACAAATCCATGTATAAGAATGCTATGAAAGGAATTTCTGGTGCAGAAGTTTGGCGCAGCAGTTAAGACACCACTGGGGATGCCTGCATACCATGTTGGAGTATCTGGGTTCAAGTCTTAGCTCTGATTCCAGCTTCCTGCTAATGGTCATCCAAGAAGGCAGTGGTAATGGCGCAAGTGATTGGATTCCTGACACTCACTTTGGGAGTCTTGGATTGAGTTCCTGGATCCCAGCTTGGGCCTGGCCCAGCCTTAGCCATTGCAGGCATTTGGGGAGTGAACCAATGTATGGGAGCTATCTTTCAAGCTCACAAAATAAACAAACAAAAGTAACTTTTAAAAAATGGAAAACAATGTGACATAAATTTTTTAAGATTTACTTGTTTGAGAGGCAGAGTTTCAGACAGAGAGAGGGAGAGGTCTTCCATCTGCTGGTTAACTTCCCAAATGGCCACAATGGCTGGAGCTGGGCTGATCCAAAGTCAGGAGCCAGGAGCTTCTTCCAAGTCTCTCATGGGGATGCAGGGGTCCAAACACTTTGGCCATCCACTGCCTTCCAAGGCCATTAGCAGAGAGCTGGGTTGGAAGAGGAGCAGCCGGGACATGAACTGGCCCCCATATGGGATGCTAGTGCCGCAGGTGGAGGCTTAAGCTACTATGCCACAGTGCTGGCCCCTAAATCAAATTTAAAAGGAGGGGGATTCCTGAATCAGGAGGTTGACCTCAAAGATAATTGCCGTTTCTGATATTCTAGCTTTTATAATGAGTTAAAAATGAGTAGATGTTGTAGACTAGATGTTGAATCAAAGACCAATGAGATTTGGGAAGAAACTTAATTTGATATTATCTGGTAATCTTTGAGGATACCCTGATGGAAAAAGTTAAAGTCTATCAACTTAGGGGCCGAGGCTCACTTGGTTAATCCTCTGCCTGTGGCGCCGGCATCCCATATGGGTGCTGGGTTCTAGTCCTGGTTGCTCCCTTCCAGTCTAGCTCTCTACTGTGGCCCAGGAAGGCAGTGGAGGATGGCCCAAGTGCTTGGGCCCCTGCACCTGCATGGGAGACCAGGAGGAAGCACCTGGCTCCTGGCTTTGGATCGGCGAAGCTCCGGCCGTAGTGGCCATTTGGGGAGTGAACCAATGGAGAGAAGACCTTTCCTTTCTCTCTGTCTCTCTCTCTCACTGTCTGTAACTCTACCTCACAAATAAATAAATAAAATCTTTTAAAAAAAAAGTCTAGAAAAGGAGAAGTTATTGGTGGGGGAAGGAGGTAGTGAAAAGAGAGAGCAGAAAACAAAGTTGATTTGGGGAGGAGCAAAAGGAGTTTTCTTTCCATGAAATGAGAGAAATAGTTGCAAATCCATTCTTCAATTGCAGCTTCTGAAAGTCATAACATTTAAAAATATTTATTTTCATTTTATTTGAAAGACAAAGAGACTGAGCAAGAGGGAGAGATCTTTCATCCACTGATGTACTCTCCAAATGCCTGCAACAACCACACTGACACTAGGAGCTGGAAACTCAATTTGTGTCTCCCATGGGAGTGCAGGGACCCAAGTAGTTGTGTCATCACTGCTCTCCCAGAGTGCTCAGTAGAAGGAATGTTGTATTCAGAAGTGGAGCAGGAACTGAACCCAGGCAGTCTGATAACAGATGTCGGGATCTCAAGTGGTGTCTTAATCACTGTGCCAAATGTCCACCCCATATTAACTGAATTTATGAATACCTGTTCTCTGTGAGTATACTGTCACCATGGCCACTTAGACAAATTCATCTTTTTCTTTGTTTATTGAAAAATTTATTCTTCTGACTTTGTTGTTTTGGTAATGGTTCAAAATAAAGAAAGGAGAAAGCAAAACCAAAAATTATCTATATACTTTTACCATAACGTAACACATAATAAAGATCTGGGAAAGTTGTAGCAGCAAGGTAAAGAAACCTGGGATCAAAAAATTTAGTATTAGGGCACTGGCTTTTGAGACCTAGTGGGTTAAGCCTCAGCCTGTGATGCCAGCATTCCGTATGGGCTCTAGTTCAAGTACTGGTTTCTCTACTTTCAATCCAGCTCCCTTCTAATGTGCCTGGGAAAGCAGCAGAAGATGGCCCAAGTGTTTGGGCTCCTGCACCCATGTGGGAGACCTGGAAGAAGCTCCTGTCTTCTGATTTTGACCTGGCCCAGCACTGGCTGTTGTGACCATCTGGGGAATGAACAGAGGATGGAAGATCTTTCTTTCTCTGTTTCTCCCTCTCTCTCTGTTAACTCTGCCTTTCAAATAAATAAATAAATCTTGAAAAAAGAAGAAATTTAGTATTGGGACAGGTGCTGTGGCAGCAGTGGGTTGAACTGCTACACAGGACTCCTGCATTCTATACAGGAAGGAGTGCTAGTTCAAGTGCCAACTACTCTGCTTTTGATCCAATTTCTTGCTAATGCACCTGGGAGACTGGAAGTGATGGTTCAAATACGTGGGTCCCTGCCACCCATGTGGGAGACCTGAATGGAATTCTGGGTTCCTGGCTTTGGTCCGGCCCAGCCCTGGCTGTTGCAGGCATTTAGGGAATGAATCAGTAAATGGAAGATCTTTCTGATACTCTGCCTTTCAAGTAGATGAAAGTAAATAAATAAGTATTAGGGGGAATAAGGCCTAAAGGAAAAGATGAAAATTTTGGGAAAAAATTGATTTTAGTATTTCTCCTTTACTTTCAATGTCTGACTTCTTACTATATCTGCTGGATCTTTTTGAGAGATGAACATGGTTTTAGTGTTTAGTATTCTTTTGAAGAGAAGTAATTCTGTAATTATTTTATCGTTAAAAATTTTCTTGGAGGAGGGCGTTTGGCTTAGTTCATTAAGCCACTGGTTAGGTTGCCTGCATCCTACATTGAAGTGACTGGGTTCAGTGCAAGGTTCTGGCTCCTGATTCCAACTTCCTGGTGATAGGGACCTAGGAGGCAGCACTGATGGCTCAGATGATTGGGTTCCTTGCCATACACATGGGAGGATGGGATTGAGTTCCTGGCTCCCCGCTTTGGCCTCCTGGCTGATGAGAGCATTAGGAGGAGAGAAACAGGGGATGGGAACACACATACACTCTCGCCGTCTCCTTCTCTCCCCCTCCTTCACTTTCTTTGCCTTTGTCTGTTGAAAACAAGAAAATTTAAAAATGTTTCTCAGTATAACCCATCTTCAATAAAACCTTCATCATTGACATAGTAAATAGTGTAACAAATAATTCTGTACCAAAGCAAATTATCCTAACAAAATTATTTCATAGAGAACAAAGTTCTTCTGAATAAAACTACTGGGGGTGGGGTGTTTGGCACAGTAGTTGGGACGCTGTCTGGGATGCCCACATCTGATACCAGAACCTGCTTCAAATCCTGGCTCCTCCACTTCCTGCTCAGCTTCCTGATAAGGCTTATCCTGGGAGGCATCAGATGATAGTTCAAGTGGTGGCTCTCTGCTACCCAAGAGGGAGACTGGGGTGGAATGCCTGGCTCCTGGCTTTAGCCTTGTCCTGTCTTGGCTATTGCTGACGGATGGAAGATCTCCCTTCTATCTGGTTCTCACTCAGTCTGACTTTCTAATTAGCAACAACAACAACAAAAATGAAAGAAAGCTAGAAAAAAGCCAAGTTATTAAAGCATAAACATAGATTAAAAAATAAAGTACTGGTTCAGAATAATTTATTTTTCATGAAATTGGGCATTTTAATAAAATGCACTACTTTTTCCTAATATAAGGTTTTAATATATTTTTTCTAATCTAAGGTTCAGTCATGACAGGGGAAATAGAAACAGAGTAAGATGATGAGAAAACAGAGACTTGGCCATTCCGGTTTCTAGGATGAGCCATGGGACAACAAAAATCCCTTAAACTGCATGAGGAACAAACTGCTTTCAGATTCTCCTTAGTTTTGAAAGTCAAAGTAAAATAAAACCATCCTGAAGTTCCGCTCTTTAATGGTTCCTATTTTCCGTTGCGTGTGGTCCCTCTTCCTGAGATCTCGAACACTGCAATATTTAAGTCGCCTATCTTCTCCCACTTCTCATTTGCTAAGTACATTAGCTTGCTTTGCAAGGTAACTAATGACGTTTCTTATGAGAAAAGGTCGACTGCGGATTTTTTAATGAGGGCCTTTTCCATTAGATCTGATCAAACTATAGAAAAAATTTTCTGACTACCAGAATTATTCTTCCTTCTAAACTGGCCTGTAGCTTTCACCAACCGTTGTATTTTTGCCATATGTTTCAGTTGTATTTTTGCCATATGTTTAAATTGTGAAATAGAATCGTGACGTTTATTTGATTGCTGATGATAGGTTTTCCTTTTGCTAGGGCAGGGATAGAGAATGAAGAAATGTTTCTGTGTATTTCAGTTCAGATTGCTAACTGAATTAATAAATGCTGTTTGTAAGCTTATAGCCAGATCAATAAAGTTTGGTCTATTATTCAATTTCCAGATTTACAAAGGTGGGCTTTGTTTAATATTTTCCTAATATGTTCCCTGGATATGTATATTGATAAAAAAAATTCAAAAACTAATATAAGGTATAATCTTCATTTTGAAGGACATATTTAGTTTATTAGGAACAACATAAAAGGACTTCAAAAATTATACATTTTAAAGTCTGCTGTCACAACTAAATGACTTTTCAGTTGTATGTTTAAAAGCAAAGGGCAGAAATCGGATGTAATGTAATGATATGACATTCTCATTCAATAGATTGAGGACATAAACAATACTGGAACTGAATCAGCATCAGAGGTAAACAGACATTTCCTTTCATGAAACATTCACCTAAAATTATCTGATTCACAAATCATCTTTTAATCTAAGAAATAGTAAAAGGGTTTTTGTTTTACTCTTTTTATTATACATCTAGGCATAACAAGACAGAAGGATATGCAAAGCAAGATCATACTTTTACAGTTTTAAACACTGTAGCTCAGTGTTTTAAAGAAAAGTATGCTTTGCTTTCATAGATTAAAGACAAGCCTCATTAGTCTCAGTTTGGGATACTCTGCCAAGACTATATATTTCTTAAACTGTTACTAACAGTTGAGATTGCTAAAAGCTAACATTTTTAAAAGGCATTTTCTTTTCACCTTTTGTCTTCTTTCCTCAGGTTTCCTGGTAGTTTGTGTTTTGGCTTTCACATACTAGTAGAGACTGCAGTTGTCTACAGATTACCATGAAAGAATGTTCCACAGTCACAAAATTTTAGTCATCTCTTTTAATCTAACAGAGAAAGTAAAAAAAAAATCAAACAGTTTGATGGTGGGCCAAAACTTACAGCTACACAAATTGGAAGCAGTTTGATTTTAGGGGTATAAGTTAAATGATTCTTCTCTATTTTTTAAAATAAAGGCAACAATAGATCATGTAATAAAAGTAATTAAAATAAAAATTCGAAGATAATACAGTTTAAAATATTTTAATCAGATGAAATTTGTGATGCTTGGAAGTACTGTGTCTTTTTTCCAGTAAATATTAGTTATATTGTGTATCTAAAAGTTTGCATGGAGAGAAAAATCATGGAGCAGCTATTTGTATTTAAATCTACCCACCATCAAATTGATTTAGAGTTCACTTACAGTCACATTACCTTTTGCTGGATTAATGCATGATAGTAAAATTCAGGCAATTTCATTGTAGTTTTGTTGTTTGATCAGCTCTGTTAATTCCAATTTCTAGGAAACAGAATACTTCTTGAACCTTGTCTGCAATGGATTTCAATAAGATTAACTCAATGCACAGTGAATTTAGAGAAAGCTATTTAAAAGTATTTTATAAAAATACTTTTTTGTCCCTTATAAGAGCAAAAGTAACGAATTTCAGCAATGATGGAGGTAAATCCCATTAAACCTAAATTTTGATTGATAAGAAATATACTAATTATCTACCTTATAAAACAGGAAGGAGATGATTCACTACTTATAACAGTGGTACCTATCAAGTCATACAAATCATCTGGAAAAATAATAAAGAATTTTGAGGACCTAGAAAAAGAACGAGAAGAGAAAGAAAGGCTCAAATATGAAGAAGATAAACGAATAAGATATGAAGAAGAGCGAAGATCTCTCAAGGAAGCAAAATGTCTTTCACTGGTCATGGTAATTTTTATCTATAAGGAATAAATCAAAGCTGTTTAGTTTAAGTTAATAGCCCTTCCCATTATGACTAACTGGTGGGTTTTTATAATGCTTTTTTAGGATGATGAAATGGAAAATGAGACAAAAAAAGCATCACTTTCTCCTGGAAAACTGAAACTAACTTTTGAAGAATTGGAGCGACAAAGACAAGAAAACCGAAAGAAGCAAGCTGAAGAGGAAGCAAGACAACGTTTAGAAGATGAGAAGCGTGCTTTTGAAGAAGCAAGACGGCAAATGGTGAATACATATATATTTAAAACTTGCATTTCATATCAATGAAAGTATCTGGCTTTAGAGAACATTCACTAGAGTAAATTCAAGGAAATTTTCTATGTAAAAGTGTTCGAGTTTGAAACTGTATACATATTCCATATAAAATATATCTGCATTTTTTCTAGTTTTCACTTTGGGCATTTTACCCAGTATGCTTTAAATTTTTGTTTTTATAGGTTATTAGTAATATATAAATATGCAATGAACCTGGCTTATCTATCTCTTAGTTTAGCCTGCAATATATTTAATGGTATAAGACATTTTCAAGTCTAATTATAAGTGTCCATTTGGCTTTGGTTTCAGTCCAGTTTTCAAATATGTAAACATAACAAAATAGTTTACTATAGAATATGTGGTTCTGTAAGATGTGGATGTATATATCTATCGAGTGTATTGGTTAAGAGCATGGATATTTTGAGCCATACTACCTGGATTCAGATATCAATCATTTATTAACTGTGTAACTATGGCAAATTAATCTCTCTAATGTCTTAGTTTTCTCATTGGCGAAATGGCAGCAATGACAGTGCCTACTTCTTAAATGGTGTTAAATGAGTTAATACTGGAAAAGCACTTAAAAAATGTTTGGCACATACTAAGTGTTTTAAAATGATAACTAATGCTATTATGCTATTAATAGAAGTTATCAATAAAAAACAAAAATGAAGGGCTGCAGTGTTAGGCTACAGCCTGCAATGCCTCCAGCATCCCATGTGAGTATCCCTAATGTACCTGGGTAAGCATCAGAAGATGGCACCTGGCACCTCCTGGGAGACCTGGATGGAGTTCCTGTCTCCTGGCTTCAGTGTAGCCATCTGGGGAGTGCCTCTCTCTGTAAGTGCCTTTCAAATAAATAAATCTTTAAAAACAATTGAAATAAAACACTGATTCCAAATCACATTTTTAAGAAAGATTTATTTATTTGAGAGGCAGAGTCATAGAGAGAGGAAAAGAGATTTCCCATTCTCTTGTTCACTCTACAAATGACTTCAGCAGTTGGGGCTGGGCCAAGCCAAAGCCAGGATCCAGAAACTCCATCCAAATCTCCTATGTGGGTGCAGGGGCCCGAGCACTTGGGCCATCATCCACTGCTTTTCTAGGTGCATCAGCAGGGAGCTGGAGTAGCCAGGCCTTTAGAACTGGTGCTCATATGGCATCCCCACTGTGCCACAATGTTGGCTGTCAAGTTGCTTGTTAAGATTTTGAAATGGAGAAGTAGGTGTTTGGCCTAGCAGTTAAGATGCTGCTTGGGACACGTGCATCCCATTTCAGAGTACCTGGGTTTAAAAACTAGGTTCCAGCTCCTGCTTCCAGCTTCCTGCTAATACGGACTCTGACAGGCAACAGGTATTGTCTCAGGAACATGGGTCCCTGCCACACACATGGGAGACCTGGATTGAGTTCTTGGCTTCCAGCTTCAGCCTTGCCTAGTCCTGGCCATGGCAGGAATCTTGGGGAGATGATCAGTGGATGGGACATGTGTGCCTTTGTGTATTTTTGTGTGTGTGAAAGAGAGAGAGAGAGAGAGAGAGAGAGAGAACTTGAAGATGGAACATCTATAATTTTTTAAGTTAATGACAACTTTCTTGATTAGTTTTCATTAATGATGTTCTAAGGATTACATCTCAAAATTTTTAATTTTCTAGACATTTACTTGAAAATGTTATTACTTTTGGGTAGTTGCATAATGTCTAGCAATTTAGTTGTCACTGGTGGTCAACTTAATAAAGACACAGAGATATTGTGGAGGCTGGAGTTGTGGCACAGAAGGTTAAGTTGTCACTTGGGATGCCGCATCCCATGTTGGAGTACCTGGTTTGAGTCCTGAGTGCTTTGCTTCCAATCCAGTTTCTTTCTAATGTATCCTGGGAAGCAGCAGATGATGGATTAAGTGTCTGTGCACTTGCCACCTGTGTTGGAGACTCAGATGGATTTCCTGGCTCCTTGCCAGCCCTGGCTGTTGAGGCCATTTTGGGGAGTGAACCAGCGATGGGAGATCTTTCTCTACCTCTGTCACTCTGCCTTTCAAGTAGATGAAAATAAATACATTTTAAAAGAGAAAAATTGTTAATTAATGAAATTACAAATGCTTATTTTAATGTAGTAATAAAATTTTAATTAGAAAATCATGAAACTTGAATTTTACATGAAACAGTTCCAGATAATAAGTTTTTACCTGATTCATATCAGAAAAAACTATTATAATTCATAGTAAAAAAAAACTCTATTGAGGTTATAAAATGAGAATTTTATTTTACTATCAAAGAGATCTGTAGGCATACTTTAACCACAACTTAAGTATACACACACATTTTATGTTTATTCTGAGAGAGTAAATGTTCAATGGTGACTCCTCTAAATTTTTTAAGTATATTACTTTTTTATTTAAAAAGTTTTTACTTTTTTGAGAAGCTTTAACTAGAACTCATCTTCAATAAGGCATTAAAAAGGAAGATTTTGCTTAAATGTATTAATATATGAAAACACTCATGTATAAATTAGCTAATTCTGCACCTTTTTGGCTGATAATTCACTCCTGTCTTTAATGAATCTCAATTGTTATTATGAGTTGTTTCTGTTGTTAGGCAGATGAAGAGGAAGAAAACCAAGACACAGAAAAAATTTTTAAAGGATACCGCCCTGGTAAACTCAAACTTAGTTTTGAAGAAATAGAAAGGCAAAGAAGAGAAGAAGAAAAAAGGAAAGCAGAAGAAGAAGCTAGAAGGAGGATAGAGGAAGAAAAGAAGGCATTTGCTGAAGCAAGGAGAAGCATGGTAAGACAGAATCTAACAGGATAATGATCCAGCTTTTAGGGTATGTTTATAGAAATCCTCAGGCTCTTGGGAATACTTGATTATTTTTGGAATCTGTGTCAAGAGTAGGAAAGACAAATAGGCTTTAGTCTCCCATGGAATAACACCAGTTATTTGCTCGAATCCAAGTGTTCGGAGGGTTCTGACTAAAGTGCCATGGCTGTAAAGGACCGAATATTATCTTCCTTCTCTGGGAAGCCATGTTTTCCAGAATGTCTCTGTTCTTTCCTCCTCTCTTTCCACACTCCCTCTTTCCCACCTTCATTCCTTCTTTCATTCTTTCCCATCTTTATTTTCAACTTTAATCTCATCCAGCATATATTAAATGGCCAGAGCAATTTCATTTAATCATAATTATTTAATTCTCAGAAGTGTTCACTCTTGGACACTGATGACTGTCATGAAGTTATACTTCCTGTAATCTATAATGTTTATAAAATGTATAGGTAGTTATATGGCAAACCATTTTCAGGAAATTTGACATGTGAACACACTGCATCCTCTTCTTGAAACATTTTTATTGGCTTCAGTGATGTCATAACCTGATCTTCTTCTTCTGCCTGGGAGAGCCATAAACACCAAAGTCTAAGTATTAATTTGGCTTGATCACTATCCAGATGCTCAGCTCAGAAATTTGGAAGCCTGAAACTTTCCACTTTCTCATTCATACCTCCCACTCAATTAGTCAATAAATCTCATTTAATCTACTCCAGAATCACCCTAAAATCCATCATTTCCCCTATTTTTTACTGTCATGGGTATAATCCAGGTTACTGTTTTTCCTTGCCTGGGGCCAACTCCTAATTGTTTTCTTACCTGCAATCCATTTTTTCCTATAAGACCAGGAGTGATCTTTTCTTTAAAAAAAAAAAAAAAAACATTTATTTTATCTCATTCTATTTTAATTTTGTAACTGGTTGACACCCTTTTCTTTTATTTTTAAAGAAAGATTTATTTTATTTATTTGAAAGACAGAGTTACAGAGAGAGGTAGAGACAGAGAGAGAGAGACAGAGAGAGGTGTTCCTCTGCTGGTTCACTCTCCAAATGGCTGCAATGCCTGGGGCAGGGCCAGGCTGAAGCCAAGAGCCAGGAGCTTCTTCTAGGTCTCCCATATAGGTGTAGGGGCCCAAGCACTTGGGCCATCCTCTGCTGCTTTCCCAGGTGCATTAGCAGGGAGCTGGATTGGAAGTGAAGCAGCCAGGACTTGAACCAGCACCTATATGGGATGCTGGCACTGCAGGCCAGGGCTTTAACCTGCTGAAGCGCAGTGCTGACCCCCTTTTATTTTAAGATTTATTTATTTAAGAGGTAGAGCTACAGACAGAGAGAGGAAGAGACAGAGAGGTCTTCCATCAGCTGGTTCACTCCACAAATGGCCACAATGGATGGGGCTGGGCCGATCTGAAGCCAGGAACCAGGAGCCTCCTCCAGTTCTCTTATGCAGGCCCAGGTACCCAAACGTGTTGGCCATCTTCCAATGCTTTCCCAGGCCACAGGCGGAGAGCTGGATCAGAAGAGGAGCAGCCAGGACATGAACCAGTGTCCACATGGGATGCCAACATCACAGACAGAGGCCTGGCCCACTATGCCACAATGCCAGCCCAGAAACCCTTTTTCTGGACCCTTCATGAGGCTGATTATTGTTTCAACCTTCAGGACAACCTAGCATGCTTCCTTTTCAGAAGGGGCCTTCCCTGATCCATCTCCAAGCCTGTACGCTATGTCAAAGCCTCTCCAACTCTCCTTTATTCATTTGTTATAATTACATAGTTACTTACATGATCTTGTAATGTATTTGTTTCTGCACTTACTATGTTTCTCACTATTGTGTCTTTCCACTTGAGCTAGAATGCATACAATACCTAGTCCTATACACCATGCTCAATAAATGCTTGTTTAACTATTAGAATCATTTACCCAAGTAAAGTCAAGCTCTAAAAATAAATTTGTAACTACTTTGTTATTTTGGCTTAATATTTTCAACTTCCATTAAGCAGAAATCAAAAAGCTTTTACAAAAAATTTATTTATAGGCCGGCGCCGCAGCTCACTAGGCTAATCCTCCACCTAGCAGCGCCAGCACACCGGGTTCTAGTCCCGGTCGGGGCGCCGGATTCTGTCCCGGTTGCCCCTCTTCCAGGCCAGCTCTCTGCTGTGACCAGGGAGTGCAGTGGAGGATGGCCCAGGTGCTTGGGCCCTGCACCCCATGGGAGACCAGGAGAAGCACCTGGCTCCTGCCATCAGATCAGCGCGGTGCGCCGGCCATGGCGGCCATTGGAGGGTGAACCAACAGCAAAAGGAAGACCTTTTTCTCTGTCTCTCTCTCCCACTATCCTCTCTGCCTGTCAAAAAAAAAAAAAAAAAAACTTATTTATAATCTTGTCCTTATATATCATTTTAGTTTCATTTCATGATTTTTCCCTAATCTGCTGTACTTGTTCTAAATGTACTAAATTTCTTTCCATTTCTTCAAAATGAGAACCTCTGTGCCACCACAAATACTGTCTGAAACGTATCCTTTTCATCTCTCCCTGTCTGTTTCCTAACCTTCCAGTTCCTCTGGGAAGATTCTCCTGATAATAAGTTTCTGTGTATTTGGGCAGCATTTAGTACTCCCCCACTAGGTGAGCCTGAGCTGGTTATTAAGCACACCCAAGTGGCGCAGCTCTGAGTGAAATAGACTACCCAAGTGTTTGTGCAGGAAGCGATCCTGAAACCATGTTGTATGTAGCAGGTAATCACTAACTCACAAATGGTTTCTACATGGAAACCTGTCGACCATGTCACACTTGAGGTCGAAGGTACCTCCAAGTGATAGAAAAACAGAATTAAAGAATTGCTTTTCATGCAATAATTCTAAGTCAATAATTTAAAAGCAAAGTGTCTTTTTGCAATTTAGGGATTACCTAGAAACAGGGAATAACAATGTAATAATAAAATGAGCACTGAAAGTTTCCCATGGTGTTAGGCACACTGAGGTGTTTTTAAGCTTTACTTAATCCTCATGACAACCCAATGAAACTTGTCACAGGTAAGGGAATTCAGACTTAAAGAGGCTGAGTAAATAGTGAACTGAAAGGTATATATTTAAGTATTGTTTATTATTCATTCAGATTATTCATGTAAATGCATAAAATTACAAAAATGCAGTCTAAGTTATTATTTATAATTTTATTAGATTTTAAAGTTTGAATCTCAGCTTGACCCCATAATATTTCTATTGACTTTAGACAAGTTACTTTTTAGTGCCTCAGTTCCTCATCTATAAATTGAGGAAATGCTAAATACTCTTATGAGGCTACTTCAAAAAGTTAGTATCAAATTAGAATTAAAGGTATGAGCTGATTTTGGTGAAGAAAATTTTTGATGCAAATTTTTTTCAAAACACATGGCAATATGTATTATGAAAAAGTATGCATATATTTCAAAACTTTTTACACCAAAATTCATACTTTTAATTCTATTTTTCCATAAACTTGTGAAGTACTCTTGTATTATTTAAAATTAGTTTGACAGTGAGTAAATCGACAATACAGCCATAGCAGAGAGGGGGATGATGTCTGAGTATGAAGAGGTGATGCATTGCTGCGTTCAGACAAGGTCATGAACTATTGTAATTACAGAATGGAGATGCATTTTAAACCAATTTAAAATGTTCTCAATTTTAGAAAATACTACTAATTTGAATCACTCATAGTATAAATAAAAGTATTTCGCTATATACATTGAAGTGGAGAATAGATGGTTTACCATTTCCCCCATAGCCACAAAATATCTCAGCCTTACATTTTGTAATACTTTTTCCCTATTTGCTTTATGCTTTTCAAGTGGACTTAGGTCTCTTGGCTTTTAGTTCAAAGTAAAACCTTTCTATTCAAGTAATCCCAGTTTCTAGAGACAAATACTCTCTTTTTAGTCCGTATTATTCTGGCAAGACTGACAATAGAATTATTTTAAATAGGTACTAGATGATGACTCCCCAGAGATATATAAAACAATTTCTCAAGAATCTCTTACACCTGGAAAACTGGAAATTAATTTTGAAGAATTACTAAAACAAAAAATGGAAGAAGAAAAACGACGAACAGAGGAGGAACGGAAGCATAAGCTGGAGATGGAGAAACAGGAATTTGAACAATTGAGACAAGAAATGGGAGAGGTAAGATTTTAAGAAATGTATATTTATATTGCACATATTTAAGCTAAGTGGTTTGACTTGTATTTAAATAACCTTGTTAATAATTACTCACATAAAGGATACTTAACATACTCCTATGAGACACGTACTTGGTGTAGGTGTCAGCCTTGTTATGGGTATGAGAGTGCTTCAAAAAGTTCATAGAGAAAACTAAAAGATAAGTTATTTTCATGTAAAAATTACTTGAAACCCATGCAAAGGAAAAATTAAAAAAAAATTTTTTTTCTGAAAGTTAGAGAGACTTAAAGAGAGCTCTCCTATCTGCTATTTCACTCTTCAAATGCCTGCAACCCAGGCTGAAGCCAGAAGCTGGGAACTCAGTTGGGGTCTCCTATGTGAATGGCAGGGACCTAGTTGCTGAGCTATTAACTGCTGCCTCGCAGCGTGCACATTACCAGCAAACTGGTTTTGGGAGCAGAGCTAGAGTTCAACCGAGGCACTTTGATATAGAACATGGGTATCCCAAGCAGCATCTTAATGTCTGTGTAAAATTCTTGCATCATAGTCTTTTTTTTTTTTTTTTTTTTTGACAGGCAGAGTGGACAGTGAGAGAGAGAGAGAGAGAGAGAGAGAGAGAGAAAGGTCTTCCTTTGCTGTTGGTTCACCCTCCAATGGCCACTGCGGCCGGCGCACCGCGCTGATCCGAAGGCAGGAGCCAGGTGCTTATCCTGGTCTCCCATGGGGTGCAGGGCCCAAGCACTTGGGCCATCCTCCACTGCACTCCCGGGCCACAGCAGAGAGCTGGCCTGGAAGAGGGGCAACCAGGACAGAATCTGGCGCCCCGACCGGGACTAGAACCTGGTGTGCTGGTGCTGCAAGGCGGAGGATTAGCCGAGTGAGCCGCAGCGCTGGCCCCCTCATAGCTTTTTATAATAGGCATTTTGTGTGATGTTTTTGAAGACCCTGTAGCAAGGATTTCAAATTTTTGCACAAAAATAAACATGTTTTGATTCTATTTTGCCACAAATTTTTTGAAGTAGCCTCCTACTTCTAGTCTGCTATAATTCTACTCCTTCCTTTCTAGTAAAAAAGAAAAATGCATATTTGCAAAAACTAGAAAAAGTGAAAGAGTTTCTCTTATATCACTTACTTGAACAAAGAAATTAAGGTGTATGTCACATTATCAGCTGTGACACTCCTCTTCCACCCCTTCCCCTTCTGTGAACTCTACCTGGAACTCTAAGTTATCTCCAAGAAATGTGTATTAGGAGTACCTGGCAGTATTTTACCACTTCATTTAGTGGGGTTAGGGCTAAGTGTATAAGTATTATAAAGGACTAGCAATAAGAAGTTATGAAAAGTCATGGGAAAGGAAACTAAAAGAACAAGATAAAATGGTAGGAAGAATTGGAGTCCAGTTTTGATTGACTCCTTTTCTTTCCTGGAAGAATACATAATTGAGAATACAAGCAATATGTAGAGAAATACAGGGATTTTACAAGACTATCTCTGGAAATATTTGTTAGTTTGAGTATTAAGAGTGATATCTAACTTTTTAAGACTACCATAAAGTCAAAGAGAACATTTTAGAGATATTTCCCTTTCAGTTTAGCAATGAAGAAAATCGTGCCCAGTGGGTTAGTAACTAGGTAAAAGACCATGCAGTATCAAGAGCCAGAAATGTAATTTTTATCTGACTCCTGGCCCAGTGTTTCTTAAGTTCTATTTGTCTTCTCCTAACAAGGGTCTTTCACAATTCCTTGTAAAAAATAATCTTGCTATGTATATTTTAGTTTTAGCAGGTTTTCATGGAATATTAAGAGGTTTTACCCATATATCCTGACAAAAATAGTTTAAATGGAATATAAAGATGTGTTTATTTATTTGAGAGAGTTATAGAGAGGCACAGGCAGAGGCAGAGAGAGACAGACAGAGACAGAGAGATCTTTCATTTCTTGGTTCACTCCCGAAGTGTCTGCAATGGCCAGAGCAGCCGATCCAAAGCCAGGAGCCTCTTCTGTCTCCCTCATGGACATAAGGGCCAAGGCACTTGGGCCATGTTCCACTGCTTTCCCAGGCCATAGCAGAGAGCTGGATCAGAAGAGGAGTAGCAGGGACAGGAACCAATGCCCATATGGGATGCCAGCACTGCAGGCGGTGGTGGCTTTATCCACTACACCATAGCACTGGCCCCTTAAATTTAAGGTAGCATGCAGCACTTCTACTTAGTCAGTTTGAACAGTGTATTTAGGCAAAGGGTTATTTATGCTTTTTTTTCCAAATAGGAAATGGTTCACAGTGTTTGCAGGGTTTATTGCACAAACTACAGTAGACCCCCCCTTGTCTGCAGTTTCACCTTCAGTTATTTATGGTGAACTGTGGTCTGGAAATAATGAAAAGTTACAGAAATAAAAAAAAAATCCTTGGTTTTAAATTGCATACTATTGTGAATAGCAAGATGAAATCTTGAGAGCTTGTTTGGAGGTTCTAGCAGGGGAGCGCAGCTACTCGTATACCCTTGACTGAAGACCGGTCCTCCTCTAGCGGGGAAGATCGTCCTCTTCTACCCAGCGCGCAGCTTCGGGAGGGAAGCACATGGAGCAGTGAGGGAGGAAGGGGACACCCGCCTAGCCAGCCAGATCAGCCGAATCAACCCTGGTGATCAGTGGGGTGACAGATGTCGCAGCCAGCTCGCCCTCACATCCAAGATGAAATCTTTATATCCTGCTTAACCCCATCCAGGATGTTAATCATCCCTTTGCCCAGCATATCAATGTTGTATATTCCATACACCTTGTTAATCATTTAGTAGCTGTCATGGTTATCAGCTTGATTACCAGGGAATCATGGCTAGTATCCTAATTTTACTTAATAATTCCAAAGTGGAAGTCATCTACACAAGTTGCTAAGCTGTATGTAAGAATGAAAAGAAACAGAACAGGACCTGTAGGGTTTGGTGCTATCCAAGGTTTCAGGCATCCATTGAGGGTCTTAGAATATATTCATTCCCCTCACATAATAGGGGAATTATTGTAATTCACTGATAGTCATATATAAAATCTTAATTTTTTTGAAGGAAGAGGAAGAAACTGAAACTTTTGGACTGAGCAGAGAATATGAAGAATTAATCAAGTTAAAAAGAAGTGGCTCTATTCAAGCTAAAAATCTAAAAAGCAAGTTTGAAAAAATTGGACAGCTGTCTGAAAAAGAAATACAGAAAAAGATAGAAGAAGAACGAGCAAGAAGGAGGGCAGTTGACCTTGAAATTAAAGAACGAGAAGCAGAAAACTTTCATGAGGTACACAACTTTTATATTTAATGTAGTTATGGTACAGTAATGCTGATAAATTTAACAGAAATAATATTGGCTTTGAAGTAACTTTTAATACTTGAAGTTAACCACTGGTATATATAATTATCTGGGAACTAAACAGCAAATTCACATTTCTTAAGAGATTTTATGACCCCTCCACTCTACCATTTTTTCAAAATGACTTTATCAGCATTAAAACCTATCATAAACATCAAATGGTTCACTCTAGCAAAAATGGTCCCAAAATATTTACATATTTTTATTTCCAGTAAAACCAGTATATATTTGAGATGAACTCGATTATTCTTTCATATTTTACAGATGAGGCCTATAAAGCCTATATGATCTATTCACAGCAATAATTCAGTGCAAGAGCTTCCATCAGAATTCCAATGATAAAAGTACTTCCATACATAAAATAAAGAGGCAATCAATGACCTGTAATGTCCCTTACAACCTTACAACAACTAGGATTATGAATATTGGCTCAAATGGGATCTGGAATTTTTTTACTTGCATTGAACCTATATTCTTCTAAAATATTAAATATTGTTATTGATATTCTTTATTATATAATTATAACCACTATATAACACATTCATATCATATAATAAATATTACCTATTAAATATTCAACTAGCAAAATAGATGTGGGAAGTTAGGAAGGAGGGCCTTCAGGAGACACTGTGAATAAAAGGAATGAAGAAATTGTGTACAAATTATTGGACTACAAGCAAATCATTATTGAGGTAAGCACAGAATGCAGGTAATAGTAAATGAACATACAAGCATAGGTGGCATGACCGTATAAAAGCCTTTGATGCCTCCCTTAACAGACTTTTAAAACAGATGGCGATATCATCATCAAATGGATATCATTATAGTTAGGTCATACTGCAGGTATAGATGTATGTAACACAAAAAAATTAGAATGCCTAATATGTTCCAGGGAGTGCTGTGGACACTGAGACTCCATCAGTGATTACACTTGTAGTCCCTACTCCTGTGGCACTCAGAATCCAGTGGGGAGTAGAGGAAAGGAGGATGAAAAACAAATATTTTGTTGTAACAAACAAAAGTGATGGGAATAAATAAGGTGGGGTAAGAGAAAGAGAGTAACTTTGCGTATGTTAGATCCTCTGTTGTTTTGGCGATGCATAAATGATGTAATATGCTCTCAAGAAGTTCAGTTTAGTATGGCTGAATTATAATTGCTATTAAATGCTATGACAAGAGTTATATATTCAGTGCTATGGGATCCAACTGAATGGAGTCAACATGACTAAGAGAGGTTTAACAAAGCTGAGAAAATGGCAGGCCAAGTGGGAAGGATGAATAAAAGCTGCAGAAAAAGAGGGGGAGCATTCTAGATTGAGGAGACAATGTGAATCAACTGACAGGTTGTAAATGTTTAACTGGCAAGTGGAAAATAGGTTCAAAGTATTATCAGGTAAGGCTCACAGAATAATAGGTGATAGGATACAAAATTGTGCAAGTGGGTTGTAGCTCATTAATGAAAGTGAACGTCAATAATCAAAAATCTTATTTAAAAAATAGTTATTTGAAAGTCAGTTATAGAGGTAGACAGATCTTCCATCCACTGGTTCACTCCCCAGATGGCCACAATGGCCATGGCTGAGCCAAGCTGAAGCTGGGAGCCAGGAGCTTCATCTGGGTCTCCCACGTGGGTAGCAGGGCCAACACTTGGACCATCTTCTGCTGATTTTCCCAGGCCATTAGCAGCTAGCTGGATCAGAAGTGGAGCAGCTGGGACTTCAGCCAGCTCCCATATGGGATGCTGGTATTGCAGGCAATGTGTGTGTGTGTGTGTGTGTGTGTGTGTTTGACAGGCAGAGTGGACAGTGAGAGAGAGAGAGAGAGAGAGAGAAAGGTCTTCCTTTGCCGTTAGTTCACCCTCCAATGGCCGCTGTAGTTGGTGCGCTGCAGCCGGCACACCGCGCTGATCCGATGGCAGGAGCCAGGTGCTTCTCCTGGTCTCCCATGGGGTGCAGGGCCCAAGCACTTGGGCCATCCTCCACTGCACTCCCTGGCCACAGCAGAGAGCTGGACTGGAAGAGGGGCAACCGGGACAGAATCTGGCGCCCCGACCAGGACTAGAACCCGGTGTGCTGGCGCCGCAAGGCAGAGGATTAGCCTAGTGAGCCGTGGCACCGACCAGGCAATGGTTTTATCTGCTATGCCACAATGGTAGCTCCAATAATCAAGATTTTAATAAATAAATTAATTTTTCATGTTTATGATAGACTTGTTTATGAAAGAATTCTGGGATCTTGGTAGATGAAATGGAACACAAACATGAAGAAAAACAGACTGGCTATGGAAAGGTGGTTTCTTAGGAGCCTGATGTTACTTCAAGATTACCAGGGAAACTAGATGATGCTAGAGAAATCAGATCTAGAGAAACGGGGTGAACAAATTGTTTTGGATATGTGAAATGTAAGCTGTATTTGGATAAGGTTAAGGAAAGGTGGTCTGAAACAGGTCCAGAACTCAGGAGGGCAGGAGCTATAGATTGTAACTTTTATGGACAATACCTGAAAGGAGTAAAGTGCTTTACAAAGAGTGTACAGGTGAGTAATAAAACCCTGGAGGGGGCAGGTGCTGTGGCATAGTAGACTAAGCCTCCGCCTGTGGTGCCAACATTCCTATGAGTACCAGTTCGAGTCCTGGTTGCTACTCTTCTGATCCAGCTCTCTGCTGTGGCCTGGGAAAGCGGTGAAAGATGGCCCAGGTGCCTGGGCTCCTGCACCCATGTGGGAGACCTGGAGGAGGCTCAGCTCCAGCCGCTTTCATCTGGGGAGTGAATCAGTGTATGGAAGACCTTTCTGTCTCTCCCTGTAACTCTACCTTTTAAAGAAATAAAAACCCTGGAGTTTGAGTGTTGGGGTAAATGTGTTACAGAAGGTAAAATTCAATCAACATTTCATTTGCTTCCTTTTTTTTTTTTTTTTTTTGGCTAAAGGTAAAGTAAAAGGTAAAGTAAAAAGTAAAGGTAAAGGTAAAGTCTCATAGCAGTCATACCTATCCCTACAAAATATGTAGGTTAAGAATAAAGTAAATAAGGTAGATAAGTGAATTCTTCCCCTCAGAAACCTTTTATTTAAGGAATACAGACTTCATGCTTTTCATAAATACAACTTTAGGAATATAGTGATTCTTCCCACCATACCCAGTGTCCCGCCCATACTCCTACCCTTTAACTTCCTCCCTCTCATATTCCCGTTCTTATTTTTAATAAGATCTATTTAACTTTATACACATATGATTAACTCTATACTAAGTAAAGAATTCAACAAATTGTATGAAAAAAATAGTTCCTCAGTCAAGACAAGGACTGTTCAAAGACATTGCATCTCAAAGTATTAATTTCACTTCTATAGATTTCCTTTTAGGTGCTCTATTAGTTATCACAAATCAGGGAGAACTTATGGTATCTGTTCTTTTGGGTCTGGCTTATTTCACTAAGTATGATGTTTTTGTTTCATCCATTTTGTTGCAAATGACAGGGTAACAATTTTTTTTTACCGTTGTGTAGTATTCCATGGTGTATGTATCCCATAATGTCTTTATCCAATCTTCAGTTCACAGGCATTTGGGTTGATTCCATGTCTTAGCTATTGTGAATTGAGCTGCAGTAAACATGGGGGTACAGATAACTCTTTCATATGCTGAATTCATTTCCCTTGGGTAAATTCCCAGAAGTGGGATGGCTGGGTCATATGGTTGACCTATAGTCAGATTTCTGAGCTATCTCCAAAGTGTCTTCCACAGTGGCTAAAGCAGTTTACATTCCCACCAACAGTGGATTAGGGTACCTTTTTCCCCACATCCTTGCCAGCATTTGTTGGTTGTTGATTTCTGTGTGAAAGCATTCTGACAGGAATGGGGTGAAACCTCTTTGTGGTTTTAATTTACATTTCCCTGATGGTTAGTGATCCTGAGCATTTTTTCAGCTCTGTTGAACATTTGGATTTCCTTTTGAAAAATGCCTGTTTAAGTCCTCTGCCCATTTCTTAACTGTGCTGTTTGTTTTGTTGTCGAGTTTCCTATCTCTTTATATATTCTAGTTATTAGTCCTTTATCAGTTGCATAGTTTGCAAATAATTTCTCCCATTCTGCCATTGCCTCTTCACTTTGCTGAATGCTTCTTTTCCAGTGCAGAAGCTTCTCAATTTGATGTAACACCATTTATTAATTTTGGCTTCAATTGCCTGTGCCTCTGGGGACATTTCCCAAGAAGTCTTTGCCTATGCCAATGTCTTGTAGGGTTTCCCCAATGTTCTCTAATAAGTTGATGGTATTGGGTTGTAGATTTAGGCCTTTAATCCATTTTGAGTGTTTTGTGTGTGTGTGTGTGTGTGTGTGTGTGTATGTGTGTGTGTTTAAGGTGTAAGGTCCGGAGGGGTCTTGCTTCATACTTTTGCATGTGAGGAGATCCAGTTTTCCCAGCACCATTTGTTGAATAGACTGTCCTTGCTCCAGGGATTGGTTTTAGCTCCTTGGTCAAATATAAGTTGGTTGTAGATGTTTGGATTGATTTCTGGTGTTTCTGTTCTGTTCAATTGGTCTACCCATCTGTTTTTGTACCAGTATCAGTCTGTTTTGATTATTACTTCCCTGTAGTCATGTCTTGAAATCTGATATTGTCATGCCTCACACTTTTTGTTGTATAAGATTGCTGTAGCTATTCAAGGTCTCCTGTGTTTCCATTTGAATTTCAGCATCATTTTTTCTAGATCTGAGAAGAATGTCTGTGGTATTTTGAGCATGGAAGATTTTGATTGGTATTGCATTGAATATGTAAATTGTTTTCGGAAGAATGGACATTTTGATGATACTGATTCTTCCAATCCATGAGCATGGAAGATTTTTCCATTTTTTGTTATCCTCTTCTATTTCAATCTTTAATGTTTTGTAATTCTCATTGTAGAGATCTTTGACATTATTGGTTAAAGTTATTCTAAGGTATTTGATTTATTTTGTAGCTATTGTGAATGGGATTGATCTTAGAAGTTCTTTTTCAGCCTTGGCATTGTCTGTGCATACAAAGGATGTTGATTTTTATGTACTGACTTTATATCCTGCTACTTTACCAAACTCTTCTATGAGTTCCAATAGTGGCTTGGTAGAGTCTTTTGGATCCCCTGTATATAAAATCATGTCATCTTCAAATAAGGATAGTTTGACTTCCTCCTTCCCAATTTGTATCCTTTGCTATTCTGTTCCATTGGTCCATCCGTTTTTGTACCAGTATGAGGCTGTTTTGATAACTGCCCTGTAGTATATTTTGAAATCTTGTATTGTGTTGCCTCCAGCTTTGTTTTTGTTGTATATGATTGCTTTAGCCATTTGGGATCTTCTGTATTTCCATATGAATTTCAGCATCATTTTTTTCTATATCTTGGTATTTTGATTGGAATCATATTGAATCTGTAAATTTCTTTTAGTAGTATGGACATTTTGATGATATTGATTCTTCCAATCCATGAACATGAAAGATTTTTTGATTATTTTGTCTTCTTTTGTTTCTTTCTTTAATGTTTTATAATTCTTATTGTAGAGATCTTTGACATTGTTGGTTAAGTTTATTCCAAGTTATTTTATCTTGTGTGTGTGTGTCTGTGTGGCTATTGGGAATGGGACTGACCTTAGAATTTCTTTCTCAGCTGTGGCATTGTCTCCGTATAGAAAGGTTAGTGATTTTTGTGTGTTGATTTTATATCCTGCCACTTTTTGAAACAATTCTATGAGTTCCATAGTCTCTTAGAGGAATCTTTGGATCTCTTATATATAGTATCATGTCATCTGCAAATAGGGATAGTTTGACTTCCTCCTTTCCAATTTGAATTCCTTTGATTTCTTTTTCTTGCCTGATGGCTCTGGCTAAAACTTCCAGGACTATATTGAATAGCAATGATAGAGTGGGCATCCTGTCTGGTTCTGGATCTCAGTGGGAATGGTTCCAACTTTTACCCATTCAATAAGATGCTGGCTGTGGGTTTCTCATAAATTGCCTTGATTGAGTGGAGAAATGTTCCTTCTATACCCAAATTGCTGAAAGTTTTCATCATGAAAGGGTGTTGTGTTTTATCAGATGCTTTCTCTAAGTCTATTGAGATAATCATATGGTTTTTGGTCTTCAGTTTGTTAATGTATCACATTGATTGATTTATGAACATTAAACCATTCCTGCATACCAGGGGTAAATCCCACTTGGTCTGGGTGAATGATCTTTCTGATATGCTATTGGAATTGATTGGCTTGTATTTTGTTGAGTATTTTTGCATCTATGTTCATCAGGGATATTAGTCTGTAGTTTTTGTTCTCTGTTTTATCTTCCTCAGGTTTAGGAATTAAGGTGATGCTGGCTTCTTAAAGAGTTTGGGAAGATTCCCTCCCTTTCAATTGTTTTTGAATAATTTGAGAATTGGAGTTAGTTCTTCTTTAAATGTGTGTAAGAATTCAGCAGTGAAGTTATCATTACTGGGCTTTTCTTTTATTACTGATTCAATTTCCATCATGGTTATTGGTCTATTTAGGCTTTCTATGTCTTCTTGGCTCAATTTAGGTAGGCTGTATGTGTCCAGGAATCTATCCATTTCTTATGGGTCTCCTGATTTATTGGCATACAGCTCTTTGTAGTAGTATCTGATGATTTTTTAAATGTCTGGGGTGTCTGTTGGTAAATTTTCTTTTTCATTTCTAATCTCATTGATTTGGGTCTTCTCTCTTTTTTTTTGTTGTTAGTTGTTCCATTGGTGTGTCAATTTTGTTTTTTTAAAAAAATCTCTTTGTTTTGATGATCTTTTGCATTTTTTGTTTCAATTTTATTTCTTTAATTTTTATTATTTATTTTCTCCTACTGTTTTTGAGTTTTGTTTGCTATTGTTTTCCTAGGTCCTTGAGATGCATCGATAGCTCATTTATTTGTTGCCTTTCCAATTTCTTGATGTAGGCACAATTGCTATAAACTTTCCTCTTAACACTGCTTTTGCTGTATCCCTTAAGTTTTGATATGTTGTATTGTCATCTTGTTTCCAGAAACTTTTGATTTCTGTCTTGATTCCCTTAGTGATCCAATGTTCATTCAGAAGCATGTTGTTCAGTCTCCATGTGTTTACATGTGTTCTAGAGATTCTTAAGTTGTTGGTTTCTAGCTTCATCCCATTGTGATTAGAGAAAGATGCATGTTATGATTTTGAATTTTTGAATTTGCTGAGACTTGTTTTATGGCCTAGCATGTGCTCTTTCCTTGAAAAAGTTCCATGTACTGGTGAGAAGAATGTGTATGCTGCATCTGTAGGATGAAAAATTCTGTGGAGATCCACTATGTACATGGTGTGGGTTAACTCTATTGTTTCTTTGATGATTTTCTATCTGGTTGATTTGTTCACTGCTGAAAGTGGAGTACAGAAGTCCCCCATTACTATTGTATTGGAGTCGATGTCTTCCTGTAAATCCATTAACATTTCTTTTCAATAGCCAGGTGCCCTGTAACTAGGGGAATATATGTTTATTATAATAATATCTGTTGAATTGATCGCTTAATTATTATGTAGTGCCCTTGTCTTTTTTAACAGTTTTTATGTTAAAGTCTATTTTGTCTGGTATTAGGATGGTAACAGCAGCTCTTTTTTTTGGTTTCTGTTAGCATCAAATATCTTTCTATCCTTTCACTTTTGGTCTGCATGTATCTTTGTTGGTTAGATGTGTTACTTGTAGGCAGCAAATAGATGGGTTTTGTTTTTTAATCCATTCAGCCAGTCTGTATCTTTTAACTGGAGAGTTGAGGCCATTTATATTCAAGTAATGACTTGGACCTGCCATTTTCCCATAAATATTCCGATTGCTTACTTTGGATCTCCTTTGTACTTTTTGTAATTATTTTTATAGAGTGAGAGAGAGAGACAGAGAGAAAGATCTTCCTTCTGTTGGTTCACTCCCCATATGGCCGCCATGGCCAGAACTACGCAGATCTGAAACCAGGAGCCAGGTGCTTCTCCTGGTCTCCCATGCGGGTGCAGGGCCCAAACACTTGGGCCCTCCTCCACTGCCTTTCCGGGCCATAGCAGAGAGCTGGACTGGAAGAGGAGAAACTGGGACCAGAACCTGGTGCCTATATGGGATGCCAGCACCGCAGGTGGAGGATTAGCCAAGTGAGCCACAGCACCAGTTCCCTGTACTTTTTTTTTTTTTTTAATTTATTCAATTTTTTGAAAGAAAGAGTTAGAGAGAAGCAGAGGCAGTTAGGGAGAGGTCTTCCATCTGCTTGTTCAATCCCCAGATGGCCACAATGGCTGGAGCTGTGTTGTTCTGTGAAGGCAGGAGCCAGGAACTTCTTCCAGTCTCCCATGTGGGTGCAGGGGCCCAAGGACCTGGGCCATCTTCTACTGCTTTCCCAGGCTTTAGCAGAGAGCTGGATTGGAAGTGGAGCAGCCAGGACTTGAACTGGAAACCATATGGGATACTGGCATTGCAGGTGGCAGCTTTACCTGCTATGCCACAGCACAGATCCCCACCTTTGTATTTTTACTGGGAGATTTTCTGCCTTCACCTTCTTTCATAGTGATGACCAGGTTTCTGTGTGTAGGACATCCTTAAATTTTTTGTAAGGCTAGAGAAGTGGTGACAAATTCTTTCAACTTCTGTTATGAAAGGTCTTTATTTCGCCTTCATTCCTAAACAATAGCTTTGTAGGATACAGTATTCTGGGTTGATAGTTTTTTTCTCCTAAGACTTGGAATATATCTCGCCATTTTCTCCTAGCATGTAGAGTTTCTGATGAGAAGTCAGCTGTCTCATTTGAGATCCTCTGAAACTAATCTGGCATCTCTTGCGCACACTTCAGAATCTTTTATGTCTTACTGTGGAAAGTTTGACTACAATGTGTCATGGTGAATGAAGTTCTTTTCCGGTCATGTCTATTAGGAGTTCTATGTGCTTCCTGTATTCAGAATTCCTTCTCCAAATTAGCGAGTTTTTTTGTCATTATTTCACTAAAAAGGCCTTCTAATTGATTCTCTTTCCATGCCTTCAGGACCTCCTGTGAGCTGCATGTTGGGTCATTTGATAGTATCCTATAAATCTCTAACACTGTTTTTTAGTTTTCTTATTTCTTCTTTTGGTCCAACTTTAATATTTCCAGAGACTTATCTTCTATTTCAGATATTCTTTCTTCGGCCTCACTGAGTCTGTTCTTAAAGCTTTCCACTGTATTTTTTTTATTTGTTTGATTGAATTCTTGATTTCCAATACTTTGATTTCTCTTAAAAGCTCAATTTTGTGGAGATTTTCATTGTTGTCATGTATGAATTGATGAATTGGCTCCTGATTACTTCTAAGTAATCCTATGATCAAATTTTTGAATGGCTTCTTGTATTTCATCAATCTTTTCAACTTCACATTCTAGTGTTGTGTTCTAGTGTTGTGTTCTTTTGGGGGTGTCAACTTGTCTTCCTTATTCTTGTTTCTTGAATATCTACATTTATCACTAGGCATTTATGATACTTGTTGGTTCCCCCACCCCCTCCCCTTGTGATGGCTTTTATCTTTGAAGTATGCCTCGGTGGCTTAGTGGAGTTCTGCTCTTTCAGTGAATATCCAGAGGTGTGTGCTGGGTGTGGCCAGGGAGCTCTGTTCAGTGCTCCAGGGTGATGGAAGTGTCTAAGGTGATGCCCAAGTTGGGTGTGGTAATTTTTATTTTAATTAGAGAGGTTTGTTCTGCTCTGTTGGCATAGTCTCACGCCAAGTTCCTCTCCTCATAGGAGACCAATGCCTGAGCGCTAGCCCAAGTGGGAACAATTTTCATCTGTACTTCCACGAGAACCACACAAAGGATCCGTGCATTCCTCATTGTGAACACGGATCCTACAGCAATGACCCTCACCAGGTAATCAGGTAGCTCTGAGCATGTGGATCCATCCATAGAGACTGCCTAAAGTCTCAACCACACCCTGCATCCTCTCATGCAGCCAGTGTCTTGGCTGTCCCAGCACACAAGGCTCCCACAGTCATGAGCTCCCAGCTCCTTCAATTCTCCCAGCCAGAATCGGGCATCTCTTCTCAGCTGGTTGCTGGGAACATGGACATGAGCTGGCACAGCTGTTAATGTATGTTGAACATGGTGCCCACACTCTCTTTAGCTAGTCACAGGATGCAGGTGCTGGGTGGTTGCGGTGAAACTTGGCCACCCCCTCCCCTTTTTCCCTCTAGGTTGGCAAGTACACTGTCCCCCACAGGGCTCCAAGCTGGATTCATGCTAGGCTCTTCCCACAGCTTTGTTGTCAGTGACTTGGGCTGCTACAGTCTGGTCTCACCTCACTCCAAAGCTGATGTGGTGTTTGAGGCTTTCAGCTGCTGGGGTCATGAGTTGTGCATTTCCACACCATCCACATAGGTCCATGGTGTCCCTCTAGTTTATGTTGTTTCCTCTTCCATTTTTTCCTAAACTCTTCCCTGAGACTGATCTCTCTGCACTTTATTTAAACTACCTTCCCGTAGACTAGAGCAGTTAAGTTCCCTCCATATTCTGTCATCTTGACTGTGGTGACTTTTTTTTTTTTTTTTTTTTGACAGGCAGAGTGGACAGTGAGAGAGAGAGACAGAGAAAGGTCTTCCTTTTGCTGTTGGTTCACCCTGCAATGGCTGCTGCGGCCAGCGCGCTGTGGCCGGCGTACCGCGCTGATCCGAAGGCAGGAGCCAGGTACTTATCCTGGTCTCCCATGGGGTGCAGGGCCCAAGCACTTGGGCCATCCTCCACTGCACTCCCTGACCACAGCAGAGAGCTGGCCTGGAAGAGGGGCAACCGGGACAGAATCCGGTGCCCCGACCGGGACTAGAACCCGGTGTGCCGGCGCCGCAAGGCGGAGGATTAGCCTAGTGAGCCGCGGCACCGGCCTCTGGTGACTTCTTACTTTTACTGGTTCTTTTGTATAAACAGAGTTTCTTATGAAGGATGCTGAAATCCCTCCTAACTTTCTGTATTAAAGGTCATTGACAGAGTGTTGAAAAACTTGTTAGCAGTTCTTGCTGAGTGCAACTACCAGAGAAAGGCAACCCTCCACCCCAGTTTGAACCACTACAGCAATTTCCTCTATCTTCAAAATGTTTAGGATGTCTTTCAAGGTCTAAAGAAATCATCTGATAAAGAATTCCATCCCAACTCCTTTAGAACTTAACCTGTACTACTCATTTGGTACTCAAATGCCTTACCTTAGTGCTTTTTTTTTTTTTTTCCCCAAAAGTATTTATTTGAAACACTGGCTGACAAAGGGACAGATGGAGCATTCATCCACTGGTTTCCTCTCCAAATGGCTCTGATGGCCAGATCTGGGCCAGGCTGAAGCTAGGAACTCCATCCTGGTCTCCCACAGATGGCAGAGGCCCAAGTACCTGAGCCATCTTTAGCTGTCTTCCCAAGCGCATTAGCAGGAAGCTGGATTGGAAGTGCAGCAGCCCTCTGAAATGGGATGCTGGAGTTGTGAGTTGCAGACTAACTCACTGCACTACAATTCTGACCCCATGTATGTTTGACTTTTCAAGTTAGGTTTTCTAGTAAGGTTTATTCCAAAATCATTCTATACATGGATTAGTGTGGCTTTTAATATTCCTGTGCTGAGGATATTAGTGCCCTTAAAACCATGTACCTAGAGAACAAAGTTCATTCCATTTACCATGACTATCTGAGTAGAGTCCTTTAACAGAAACATTAACCCAGCTTCTCAAAAGTTCAAGAGTTGACAACTATACTTACCTGGCTGCTCATAAAATTTCTTCCAAATAGCTCATGAGGAATTCCTTTATTCAAATTTTAATATGTAAATGTAGGTTTGAGGCAGATAAATGAACAGTTAGCAATTTGCACAATGTTCTATGCTAAAGCCTGGAAGGCAAATTATTAACTGAGGTTTTAGTCAGAAAAGCAGTTATTGAGTTGAAATATCTGGTACTGAAGCTGGGCAAACAATAAATAAGTAAAATTAAATGAATAATATGTAAGTCCTTTTTTAAGTTTCAGAAAAGCCTGATGAAATAAAACTGGAGTAAAAGAACCATTGATTGTTATTTTCCTGTATAACAATAAAAAAAACCTAGCATAATTCACCAGTAAATACCTGTAGCCAAGTATTAGGTTTATCAGCTTAAAGTAATAGTGGAAACAATTTACGCATCAGATATGTTTGTCTGATGTTCTAGAATTTCCAAACACCAAAGTCTGACTCAAGAAAACTAGAAAAAGTATCCAACTTTAACTATTACTTTTCATTGAAACTTAGGTGCAACTTCTGACATGAAACCTCATGAATCAAGATACTTGGCAGGGCACAATTTTTTTTTTTAAAGCCCAAATAAACCATTATTTTTTAAAATACAAAAAGATTTTCAAGGGCAGAGAGAGCTCTCCCATCTAATTATTCACTCCCCAAATGCCAGCAACAGCCAGGGCTAGGCCAGACCTACATGAGCCACAAACTCAACCCAGGTCCCTCATGTGGATAGAAGGGCCCAAGTACTTGAGCTGCCTGGAAATGTGTGCATTAGCAGGAAGCTGGAATCAGGGCTGGACCCAGAACTTGAACCCAGGTACTCCTGTATGGGATGCCAGTGTCTCAAATAGTTACCTCAACTGCTGCACCAAGGCTCACCCTAAGATTGCCTATATGAAGGCAATTAACCTATAGCTTGTTTCAAAATTTCCTTTTAGTTGGATGTGGTACCCTGAAAATTTTCACCATAGAATTGTGAAGTGTAAGTGGTGAGATTTCCACAAAAGCAAAATTTATAAGAATTAGAAAATACTTTAGAAACTTTTTATGAACTGTACCTCTTTAATACCTCTAAAACAGTCTCAAAAACTGTTAGTGATCTAGCACCACCAAACTTGCTTTTCATGAGTTCACTTCTTTTCCCGTATTTCCAACTGGGTGAGGTAACACATAATTCACCTGTATGACTTCACCATGTTTCTTCCAGCTGTTGCCTCTTTCAAGAGTGGTCTCCAGTTTTTATAGCTGTAAACTGCCTTCCCTGCCACTTGGCCATTAATTAAGAAAGGAAGAGTCATGAAGTTGGAAACAACAGAAATTATACTTCATATTATGTTGTAGGATGATGAGTAGTATGAATTCTTGTGCAAAGTAAGGGCATATTCTAACAATGTATAGTATTGTATTCTGACATTTTAGTATTCAGTACTATTAAAACAAGCTCTGAATTGCACGAATAGGCTTTGAACCTAGAGATATCATGTGATTTCTGCATTAGGAAAAAAGTATCACAATTAAGAATGCTTTTACTGTCACTTTTCCTGAATTGAGAGAAAATTCGCATATTTGCAAATTGCATGTTAATTATTTTGTGCCTATGAATAACACCTTCAGAAATATTAACAAGCAATCGTTATTCTTGGCCCATTTCCTTAAAGGAGGAAGATGTTGATGTAAAACCTGCAAAAAAAAGTGAGGCTCCATTTACTCACAAAGTAAATATGAAAGCTAGATTTGAACAAATGGCTAAGGCACGAGAGGAAGAGCAACAAAGAAGGATCGAAGAACAAAAGTTACTCCGCATGCAGTTTGAACAAAAGGAAATTGATGCAGCGCTACAAAAGGTACCAGACTTGCATATACCTTATTTTCTAAGGATGCCTTCCTTAAAACCAATTTTATGAAGGATTAAAAATGTAATAGCTTTCAATCTACTACAATGTTTACTGTAGAGTGCATTTTGTAGTAAGAATGTTCACATGTTCTTTAAAAACCATTTACATTCAATACCCTAAATCACTGCCCTGAAAATACTGCCCTACAAATATGAATCTGAATGCATTTATTTTAATACAGAAAAGAGATGATGATGAAGAAGAAGAGGGCAGCATCATGAATGGCTCTACTATTGAAGATGAAGAGCAAACCAGATCAGGAGCTCCATGGTTCAAGAAGCCTTTAAAAAACACATCTGTTGTAGATAGTGAGCCAGTTAGATTTACTGTCAAAGTAACAGGAGAACCCAAACCAGAAATCACATGGTGGTTTGAAGGAGAAATATTGCAGGATGGAGAAGACTATCAATATATTGAAAGAGGAGAAACTTACTGCCTTTACTTACCAGAAACTTTTCCAGAGGATGGAGGAGAGTATATGTGTAAAGCAGTCAACAGTAAAGGCTCTGCAGCTAGTACCTGTATTCTTACCATTGAAAGTAAGAACTGATCACTCTTTTAATCTTTTATTCTTATAATTTTTCCTTTAAAACAATCATTTTTCTTTCTTTCTTTTTTTTTTTTAGCTGATGACTACTAGCTCCCATCCCCTGTCCTCTGGAACTTTCTCTCTCCAACTTTCTTACTGCATCCATCCTTTCTGTGGCGGGGCCAAAAAAGCAAACCAGAAGTGCCACTGTGTTGACTTCTTCCTTCTCATAAGTCTTCAAATCACAAGTTCATCTAAAGAGTATCTTCCTTTATTTACAAATGAGCACCAGATTTATATTATGCAGTAGCAATAAAATTATTTAACGAACAGGGAAAGTTAATTATTCAATCAGAACTCATTATAAAGGCTGTGTATTTCCTGTAAGAGTTTACAGCAATTATGTTTAAAAAAGAAACCCTTATTTTGCATGAAAGAATGCCATCTATGAGCCTTTACAAATAAAATTAGTTTGAAATAGCTGAGACAATGAATTTGGAACTTTTCAATTTGAGTGGGCTTTTTTCCATATTTTAAGTACTTGATTTTTGATTGTTATAGTTTCAAAGTCTTTCTTAAGCTGATATATTGAGGGGGAGGAACATCTGTTCTTTCACAGGAAAAGAGAATCATGGGAAAAAAAAAAGAAAACCATTGCCTATAGTGTTCTGAATGTTACATTTAACATGTATTTTTTTGAAGGTGTGTAATATACAAATTTATAAAGCAAATATGTTGTGATCTTGCCTAAAATAACTATATTTTAATGAGAAAACTTTATATTAATAGTTCATGCAGGAGAAAACAATTTCAATATAATCAAAAGTTTAAAGATCTAAGAAAATTAAACTTGGGAGAAAATGGCAGAACTTCAACCTAAAGTTACAATCTTTAAAATGTTTGTAAATAATTAGCTATTGTGTTCTATTAAATTGTTTTATATTTTAATTTTCTGGAAGACAGTTTTATTTTACAGTGTAAACCAATAATAAAGTAACTTGTGTATTAAAAAGTCCTTCTGTATTTAAAGACTTGTACCTGAGTTGTATTGGGCTTCATAGTTAAAACCAATACCTGGAATACCTGCATTCCCTGTCAGAATGCTGGGGTTTGAGACATGGTTCCGCTCCCAATTCCAGCTGCCCAACCAGAGGCAAAACATAGTTTAAGTAGTTGGATCCCTGACACTCACACAGAAGACTTGGACTGAGTCTCCAGCTTCTTGCTATTGTGGGCATTTTGGGGAGTGAACCAGTACAAAGAGCTCCAAATTTTAAAAAATCGGGTATTTACAAACCCCTTATCATATGTATTTACATCCTTTTTTAGTAAAATTTATTCTAAAATATCTGAAAGGTCAAGAGTGACACAGAGGGAGAAACAGATATACCAGACATACATCTTCCAACTGTTGGTTTACTTCCCAAATAGCCCCAAGAGCCACGCTGTGCCAGGCCAAACCCAGGAACTCTGTCCAGGTTTCAGGCATATTAATTAAGGAGCTGATCAGAAGTAGAGCAGCAGGAACTTGAACCCGGCACTAATACTGGATGCCAGTTTTGAAAGTAGTAGATTAACCTGCTGTACCACAACAGTGGCCCTGCATATGAATTTTCTGAAAACCAGGGGAAGGCATCTAGCCTAGTGGTTAAGCTGCTGGTTGGGACATGTGTATTCCCATACCAGAGTACCTGAGTTCAAATCCAGGCTATGCTCTGAATTTCCAGTTTCCTGCTAACACAGACCTTAAGAGGCAGCAGTTGATGTTCAGGTAGTTCGTTTGGTCTCTGCCATCCATATGGGAGAACCTGGCTGGAGTTTCTAGCTTACAGCTTCAGCCTGGTCCAACCATGGCTGTTATGGACTTTGGAAACTATTTAAGGAAAAAAACCAAAAAAAACCCCACAATATTTTCTCATAGCAAACTTTTACTCAAAGTCAAGTTTAAAGTGGACAGTTCTTTTTATTGGCTATTACGTACAAAAGACACAAGGCACTCTCTTGTAATGTTCATCAATGTACATTTTTATTTTTTTTTATTGAGG